CAATTTTTGATGGCATTTTTCTACACGTGTTTTTTATGTTATTCATGGAAAGTGGATGCATCTAACCATCCGTGTATTTCGATATTCGGATCGGTACATGAAGTAACCCAGTAACTGGTTGTACTCTTGAGTCACTTCCTACGTTTCATTTGTACCGACATCCTCATCGGCCACCACTTCTTTCCGGTTTCCTCCATTAGTGTGCAAACGAATTCTATCATATGTTTGGTCCCGAATTGAAAAATATTACCGGAGATAGCAAGACCTTGAGTGAAGTACTACGCCTGGTTGATCAACTATTCACCTCGATCAAAAGTCAGGTGAGCGTGATCCCGATGTGTATGTGAGTTTCTTATTGAATCAGCTCACTGAATGAGTTACTAGTGTAAAACAGATCTCGTTAAAGTTATGGAATTGTGAGTTGTCAATGGGGGTTCAGTTGAAAGATGTTTCGAATGAGCTTATATCGTGTATTCATCAGTTGTGCATCGATGTGTTGTCAGTTCACTTCAAGGAATCGCTTTGTGTATACCGAGGGGTGAATGTTCAGCAATAACACTATGTACCACTATGTTTCAAGCAACGGGAAAAATCGTGTAGTTGGTTGTAAATAAATAAAAAACTACAAAACAGTGGAGAAACAATGACACGCTATGATACTAATGATCAGTTTTAATTAGCATCTTACACAAATCACCGGCAACGAGTTCACAATTTATTAGAAACTAAGCTAAATATAGAACAGTAGGCCACGTGTAAACCTTAGTATGAGCCTTTATGTTTATAACTAAAACGAGTGGATGAATCAGAATGGGACTGACTAAGACAAAAATATAGAGGATGAGAGTAATCAAATAAAATTGTGCAGGAGAATTTTCTGTAGTAAGATGTCAGATATTCCCGGAGAATGACTATATACTGATTGAATCTTGGGGAATCGGGAAGTGAGTCTATGGTCCTGCATGAATACACCAGGAAGATTGCAGATAGTTGAGGCGAAACGCAAGCAAAAACCCTAAATCTTTTGAGATAAAACATGGATCAAAAGTGATCTAAGAAGCAAAAAACACAAAACGTAAGCGTCCTGATCCTCAGGAATACGTGAATGACGTGGTCAGACCGGGTGATGATAACATTAGGATACCTAACAGATATTTGTTTGTCCACCTGGTCATTTAAGGTGAATAAAGGGGGCTTAGCAGTTCTTTTAGGGTTACTTACGATTGAAAAAAGTGGTCAAATTTATTAAACATCGAGAAGGGTGACGGTAAACAAATAAAGTCACGAGATGTAACGAAGTCGCTGTTTAAAACACAATCACTCTTGCTTACTACTGCAGGTAAGAAACTAGCCATTCTCTTGGATTATTTGATCCCATCTGCGGTGCATTTGGCGCCACTTAAGGCTGATTTGTCCTTTCTGGTGATCATATCATGTGAAAATTATGCACCGGTCCAAACACCTAAACGGGAAACTTGGGTAAGGAAACTTAGTATGGTGGTGTGCAACAATTGTCCAATGGGTCCAGGATTGCTACCTAAAGATTATTTACCAGCGATATGCATGGGTGTCATCAAGCCAATAGATAGTTGGCACATTTATTCTCTTTGTACTGCACACAGCGGGTAAGTATCGACTCACTATTATAGCTCGTAATTCTGAAATCTTAGAAATAACTGTCCCCTTCCACAAAGAGGTGAGGTTTGGGAAAGAGGTGGGAAAGAGATAGGGTGAGAAGTACCAGATGCTTCCACAAGTACGAGGGGCAACGTCAGTTCACCTAAGATTATGTGCGTATAATGAAGGCCTGTTTGTCCTACCATCAATTAATGAGGGGAGCAGAAATCCGTGTTTTGTGCTCGATAATGTCCATTTTCGTGTTGATGGTCAGTGGATGTATTTAGGGGTAAGCGTAGCACATATTCTCAAGAAATATGGTGTGAGAGCTGGTAAATTCTATCAGCAATGGGTAAACGCCTCAGTTCAAACACAATTTATCTTATAAAAAAGCGAAATGAACATTTTGGAATAATTAATCGCAGATACTCCAAACAGTGGATTAATTGGACCGTTTCATCTATTTGCGTTTTTAGGTTCCGAATACATCTTAAGAAATTTTAATGTGATTCACCGGGACGACCTTTGTGTCGGAACAACTCTCTTATATGGCAATCGGTTATGTTGTGAAGGAATGGGTTGAGTAATCGCCAACAGAAAGCAAGCAGTTATCTTACCGCTTTATCACCACTCTGGTCTATTTAGTCCACCACTCATGGGCCATTGATTATTTTGCCTTTCACTATCAAAACAACAGCTATTAGCAGCGAATAACGGGTGTTACATCAGTATCAGGATATCACGTGCGTCCCCAGGTGTGTAAAACACTTATACTAGTATTCAGATGTACATAGCACAACTGGACTGATGTTTATGCCAGCGTGGCTTCCATCAAGCAAATATACCACACACGTGTGCAAATTTTGGATGGAAGACTGTTCCAGTTCTCATTCCGGTAGACGAAAACGAACGAGGTCAAAGCATTCGCGAGCTAATCGTCAGACCGTAATCTTTGTCTCAGGTACCATTTATCATGTAATCAATAACCAAATAAAGTGTGTTTGCTTAGAATGTTACCCTTATAACCAGTCCATTCGATTTTGACAGGCTTATAGACTATGTTTAGTCTCGCAGTGTTCTGGGTTCGTGAATAGTTTCCCGGCAGGGCACAAAAGTATGCACTGCCGGCGAGTCCGGACAAGGTCAAAACAACTAGCCAGTGTTCTTTGTTGGCCATCGCGTAAAAATTTACCTGAATATCATCAACACAGAAGGCCGATTAGATCGAAAGATTTTGCGATTGACAATGTCTTAATGAGTTCTCTGTGACAGACTTGGACAGCACTGAGGAATCTACACCACTTATTCATCTTTTTCCAAAGGATCTACCATGCCCATTTTTACCAAAGAATGAGAAAAGTTGGCTGAAGGTCAAAAACGAGTTTGAAGATCACGCTTCTATGATCGATGCCAAGGCCAAGAATTTCATCAATGACTATTTTGCACATATTCGCGGACCCACGTCAGCTTTTGACCTATTGGAAAAGTTCAAATCGGTTAAGGCTCGGGCAGCAATTACGTGCTTGTTGAAAGATAAATATCGGGACGTGTTGCGCAGTTTCGGAAACGAGGTGAGTTTGACACATTACGTTTGTGTGCACGTGTGTGACAGAGACAAAGAAAAGGATTTATCGAGTGTGTACTGTTTGATCATGCTTCCGGTAGATCGATGAATTAGGTAGAATAAATTTGTCTGGTGATGGGCCAGTTGTTGCTCAGGTGACTCGAATCAATCGGAAAATTTAAGTGAAATTAGAGCCACTGGCTCCATTCCAACCCGAAGAGTCCTAATTTAATTTACACTTGATCTAAATTGAATAAACTGAATCAAAAACATTACTAATAACACTGTGATTGCTGTGATCATTATAAAAGCTTTCTGGCTGACTTGAGTTAGCACATTATCCAAGCAAATCCTAGGTAACCGTAAAATTTACAAATTTCAGTATTATCGATTTTTTTTTAATGAAACCACCGACTCAGTGTTGATCGTTTTCACGATTACAATGTTTGACTGAGGTGCTAAACAATGATTCCTCGAACGTAGAATAAAATCCGATCGATAAAATGCCATATCTCGCTAACCTTGTCTATTTTGATTTTTCCCGTTTTATTCGATTCCATCGCAACAGTTATTGAAAGTGGAAGTAAAATTCAAAGAACTGAAAGACACCCCGAATGTGGCTCACTATTTACCATCCACGGCCGGTTCCATTTCTTGGGCCAGGCTGATTTTATCCACAGTCAAAGTGAGTATATTACGCTTTATCAACTCACAACCGGACATTTTGGATGAGGACGAAGGAAAAGCGGTATGTGATTTGTGCTTTTTGTGTTGGTTAAATTTTTTTATCAAATGACAATTATGCTTGGCATCAAACGAGTGAATCCCATAACCAAAAAGACTGCTGAACTGCCAATGGTATCATTATCGTCTTAAACATCATTTATTTTTTTTTCTTGGCTGGAAAGTATAAACGTTAGTAAGGGAACAAACAATACAGTAATTAAAGTTGTTCTGTAACTCCTAGGTTTACGGACAAACAAGATTCGTGCGTTTGTGACCAGGTCTCGCGAGCAAAGAAAAACGGTGGAGGGACAAAATCTGCAGACTCTACAGAGCGAAATCCCCATATATGTATAAAGATAGAAAGGGGACAAGGATGAGACCACATGGTGGTGGGCAAGTGTTTAAATAGTGGATTTTAGGGGCGGATGAGTGCCAATGCGGATGGCTTTACCCGGAATACGGTCCAAGTGTGTCCGAGAGAAAGAGGGTGGCCGTTCCAGATGTGATTACAGTGTACCCCGATTCACGAGGTAAATAAATAAGCAATCCTCTTTGGTCAACACGGTGCAAGTTCAAAAAAAGATCAAGATGGATAAGAGGAAAAGGTAGATAGTAAGTGAAACTGTGGAAGATGTGAAACGAAGTGAAAAAGATTCGACAGTAGATTATGGACACAAGATTTGCACTTAATGGGATTTCATAACATCTAAAACAATTCCGTTTTGTTACCTTGAGAATTGATTGCTTTCACGGCTGAAATAAATGAATAGTACTCAGACAGTCAATTGCGAGTGGGAATGATGGTGGAGGAAGTGCAAGAAGTTCCGTAAGAAAGATAACGATGGGGAGTTGCGTAATCGGCAAGAGCGTGCATAAGATCAGAAGTATGAAACAAAAAGCAGTCAATAAAGAAACAGTAAAAAGTGACACAAAGTATGGAACCTTGTAGGATGCCGAAGCTCACTGGGTTTGTCCTCCAAATGAGTTCATCAACATGAATAGAGACTGAACAGTCAAAAAGAAAGCTTAGTACCCAAGTGACGATATATGGAAAGTTTTACCACAGAGATACTGCAGGAGACCAGATGCTACTCTCCAGAATTAGTGGAGGAGCAAATAATTAACTTGCACACTAATGGATTTTCAATGAACCTGAACAACAGGAGCTCTATTGGAGATCACAGCGTCTTAGGACATATAGATGTTTTGAAATCACTAGTTTCAGGAACTTAGGGAGGGCTGAGTTGTGGGTGATGAGATGGTAAATGTTCAGATCATAGAGACCATTTTCGTTTCAAGAAGAAAGGGATATGAACAGTTTTCTCAACGGCACAGAACCTAGTCATTGCATTTCTGCGCATGAAAACTACCGGACACGTATATATGATGCAGGACAAGCTACTCAAAAAACATGCAGTGTAATGCATGAAGGAACTGCTTTTTCAAAGAAAGGTTTTAACTGAGGTAGGAATCGAGTCAACTCAAGCCTAAAGATACGAAATAGATTATGTTTAAATCCTGGCTTAATAGTTTATCATCTCTCTCTCTGCTTGCTACCGTAACACGAATATAACTACGATACTAATATTCTGTTTTTTGTCACTTGTGTATATAATATTCCACTGCATTCTCCCGCTGAGTGCAATCGAGATGCAATAGATTACATTCGAAGAAATTTTAAATTTTGATGTAAACTACGTATTCTGACAAAATCGGTGTGATTTGGAACAGTAGAATGATTTCTTCTGCTTCGGTCAATTGTGCATAAGTGTATTGGGTATTGAGTAGCAAAAAAACATTCATTCATTTTGGTAAGCGTTTTGCACCTTCATTTGACCACCACAGGACTGTATACTCGTCGGCGCTTGGAATTCGGCCAATTATTATTTGTCTGTGGTTCACTGATGTTCTATCTGTGTAACGCTTATTGATAGGATTCCCATTGGTAATAGTCGAGCGGGGGGAAGTAAAATGGAATTGTCCCAGAAATCATTCGTTTGAATCCAAGGAGAAGTATCTTTATTATTCACTTATTTATCTCCTTTAATTATCCGCATCTACCGTTCTGAAAATGAGTTGAACAATTATTGATTGAATAAGGAATTCAAGTGTGAATACCTCATCGTTTTAAATCGTTCTCTCTCTCATTCATGACCACATAGAGGTTAGTTCCACTCTGACCATTTTGAGATATGATGGGATAGTTGCCCGCAATTTGAACAACTTGTAATCCTTCAATTTGATGCGAGGATGTCTGATCACCGGTTAGTTGTGCTTGTGATGCTAAAAGAAAAAGTTTGTTTTCTTCACGTTGTTAATGTATCACAATTTTAAATCATTATTTTGTTTAAAAGGGAAACAACAGATGAACAATCAAATGAGAATATTTTTGTTATTTGTATCAGATTTTTACGCTTAGCCTGTGTTAATCGTGTGAGTAGGATGGGGGGGGGGTAAACGAATTCCAACTGAATTCGCGGTGGCTAGGGTGCAGTTTTTAATCCGCTTAGATCGGCTACCCCAAACACGGTAGAGAGGACGAAATGCTTCAGTCACCCTGATAGTGATGAGGTTTTCAGGTGTCAAACAATGGCACTTGTTATCGTTTTAGTTTCAACGGTGTTCAAAGGTGTCACCGAACTCTCGTAGATGGGTACCTGCTCCTGCGACCGATTTTTTTGTTACGTATTGTCCAGCTGTGTGACGATGGCTCTCTTGTTATGCATAGTCGAAGTGCACTGACCATTACAAAAACACAAGACCATCAGCTCTTACTTGGTGGGTAAACGTAACGTCCTTTGTTGCAGTTGGTTCATACGACCGATCGATGAATGCATCTGACTTATTTGGTGTTTGTCTCACCCGCATAGGAGAATGAGTTATGGATTTTAAGCTTCTCAAGCATTCACAGATAAATACCACTGTGAACTACTGACTCCAATATCAGACAACGCAAAACCATCCAAACGATCCTTGATCGACCCACTGAAGTTCTTGCACTGCGCAACGATGCTTTGTTGCATCTCCGCAAGCCATTCACACCAGGTCTTGACCGTAGACCGCGTAGCTGATGTATAGCAGGTTCTACTCCGAACCCGAAGGTTCGCTATTCGAGTCCTGAGAGGGACAGAAAAAGTACGCACTGCTAACGAGCCCCGAAATGAACGAAACAGCTGTTTAGTGCTCTCCGTCGATCATCACAGAGATTTCGTTGTAATTAAAGTATTATTTATACTATTATTATTGACCTGTTATAATCGTTCAATCTTCCATCCATATCAGGCACATGCTCTAAGACCATCGTTTACGCTAACGCATAAACAAGCTTCTATGTCACGTAACTAGCAATACCGTTCACTGACTCAAATGATTTTTATTCCGTCGATCGGTCAGCGACCCTTACCAGATGATGATCAATACTACTAACATTCTCTCACATCACAGCTATCTTGAATGACCTCCTAGGACGGCAAAAATGGCGGACTGACCGTGCAGTAAAACTGGCGAATTATTAGACCGTCACTTCCAACCCTCGTGTAGTCTGCACCAATGCGAATATTGACGTAACCTTTTCCTTTGAAGTCAATATGAGTTCATTCCATTCATGCTTAGTTATCGATTCATAAAAGGGTCTGTATCATTTAGTCGATCTTCTTTTTGCTATGTCAGTCTACCTCTGAAACTTCGTTCACTCCCCCGTATACATAATGGCAACTTTACAGGTCAAAGCGAGATATGTCAGTTTGGCTGATGAGTTGCGTAAATACGAGATTAGCCGACATCACGCTTGGGAAACGGAAGTGAATGCAATTGTGAGCCTTCGACTCAGTCAACCGGTACTCTTTAAACACACGAATCCAGTTGCTTACGATCAGGTCAGTCAACCCAGATTTTGCATTTTAGTTTATTGTTTGCACATTCATATACCGTAATTTTCAGCCAAAAAGATATCAGTTCATCCAGTCAATCGAAGATCCGTGTCAACCCAAAATTTAGCAGTCGGTCTCACAACCGGCAAGATTATAACATGGATGATGTTTTTTAATATTGTCTTCATACTTCTCATGAACTTCAAGACGTTACTACATTAGTGTAAGTCCCGCAGTCCAATGGTTGTTTACGAAAATTAATTATAATGCCGAAGAGGGGAACTTTCGAGCCAGCCAACTGAAAGTATACCTTACCACACCGATAATAGTAATAATACCCGTGGTATTTATGCACTCATCTATCTGAATGAATAGTCTTGATAACCAGTGGAATCGTAGTGAGGCCAAATTTAATCGATTTTAGTAGTTTGTTTGCCGCGAAATTGCGTCGAACCTGAACTGCGACTGGAAGTATTTCATGAAGCACAGCTTGTACCATCATTAGCAGTATTTACACACCTTGAAGAGACATAGTTCCTTTCCTTTTGAATAGTATAGGCCATCATAGTTATAATAACGTGTTTGAATAACGGTAATTTATATAGTTTTAACAATCCAATCAACTGCGTTTAGTAATAGTTAGTGGCTTCTTCCACTTTGAATTATGAAGGGGTTATACGGCCTCGGTGATACACGAACCCATGCACAGAAGACACTACACCTTGAAGAGGAAAACCAGTATAGTGACGGTGCACGATTTATGTCCTGGACGATTTCGCTGCACCCCACTCCACTTTGTACAGCGCACATTCTACCAACTGAGCTACGAGATCATACCAGCATCCCTGGTTCTTTCACCTTCGGTTTACTTATCCCAAATATAGAGACTTACAGAATCCACCAATCAACAGGTAGACTCCCTACCTTAGTAGATATACCTTAGGTTCCATCAGTATCCACTGAATGAACTGTGAGGCCCAAGTATTTGTATTTTTATTTATATTTCTCTCGTGTCGGTTAGGAGCGTAGCGGTTGTTACACAGTGACAACAACTACGAGAACTGCCTCACTTATCCTTGTCGGCAGTTTGGTTACATTTACTTTCCTTGCGAGAACTGGAGTGATTGTCCCAAAACCCAAAACCCCACAGACCATGAATAATGGATAATGCACTATATGTCTACAATCACCCTCATTACCCAACCCAAATAAGAGGAACCAAATCTCTATTTAAATCCAGTGTCACATAGCCGACAAAATCGTTTGATGATAAGTCTTCCTGTGTTGACTAAATTCCGGTTGCGATGCTCGCATACAATGATAATCGAGGCTATCAAAGTAGATTCACTTAGATAGCTCCCATAACGATTGCAGATTGAGAGAACCCAGCGGTCATCCTATTCATTCATTCGTGAATGGACTGAATTAGATTGTATTTACCTGCACTACTGAGGTTGATGCAGAATATGCTGGGCCATTATCGGCTTGATTGTCACACAATCGTGTGCAACACGTTTTTGATCTGCCGATTGATTGAACAAATATCGAGAGTTTCTTTTTCAAACGCATTATATGTCGAAACGCAAAATATTTATCTCTCTGAATACAGTTCACTGTCCGCAGTAGTTATTTTCTTATATTTTTGCTCTCCTAATAAAGAATTTCTTCTTGTTCACTTTTAGGCACATGTCACCCCATTTGACTTTCCCAGATCGTTACAAGTTTTTCTTTTTTACTTTTTGTTTTAATCTACTTATGAGTAGTTTTGTGATGTATGTGACATTTTGCGTACCTCAGTTTGTTTTTTTGGATCGCAGTCCTTGCCACTTGCTGCTTATGACGTCGATCTAGCAATTTTTCAAGTCATTTGAAAGCAGGTATTACAGCAAGCAATAGTAAAGATAGATGGGCACCAAGGGTTATTTATGGAAGTTCAATGATGTACGGGTTTTGTTTCTCTGTCAAATCACTTCATCGATGAACACAGGTTTCCTCTAATCCTGCATAACTCTTGTATTTATGGCCTCCATCGAATGTGGTTCCTCGTAATCCGTTTGATTTCCATGTGGTCAGCATCATAGCATAACAACGTGGTTAATGCAAGCATTCGTGATAAGTGAACTGATCGCTTCTTGGACTAGGAGATGAACTATTTTTCGGTATTTCAGATATGAAAATTTAGAGTTAATCGAAAACACCATTCTCCTCTCTTTAATAACAAATTCCCATATCAAAATAATAACATTTTTCTTTATTATTAGCACTGCACCACATGCATTGTCACCGAATTTGTGTTCAGAAAGGCAAAATCAACCACTTTAAGCATATTATTCCATTAATTTCAGGGTTATTCCAAACAAAAGAAACTGTCGTTCTTGTTCTTTTGTTATTGAATATTGTGTGCTGTACTCGATCTCACGTGTCTATCCAACTTTCCCTCTTTCCATTATTATTGTCATAGCGTATCACCAAATATATATTTCTATAAAGTATAAAGAGCTAATGGGGTTAAATGTGAATTTAGTGCCTTTTACTAAGAACAGTACTTGGGCTCACTCTTAATCCTAGTTCATTTATCAGAAGTTTTATAATACGCTAAAAATAGTGAGTTGGTGAGACGGAGCGCTCTGTAAACCGCTGCTTACCCTTAATGGTTAAGATAGTAGATAAACCTACTTGTATAAACTTTGAGATTCAAAAGTTTGTAAAATCATTTTTACGTGGGTCACTCTGGATTCGATTTCTGCATTAAAACTTTACTGGAATCCTTGGGTGTAACACCAGTTTCTGCAGTGAGATGGGTTGCAGAAAAACCGAGACACGGTTGATTCGTATTCGTGAGTGACAAAATGGTCAGCTATATTTACGATTGCATACCAGTTTAAACGGGAGCAATGAAACGAAGACTTCAAATGTAATTAAAATAATTTGTCTCAATCCCGTGATATTTCTATTTATCCCATCAAATGACTAAATAAAAATGATTGTATGGATTTTATCTCATAAAGTGAGAGATCTTCAAATAACTCACCTCTTTAGCCTTTCTCCCTGTCTTTTCCCTTGCACAGAAAGCTCAAGCTATCAGTCCCCCACCCACTTGGTGGGCCGGTGCAAAAGGAGATACAGGAACTGTATTGAATCCACCCACACCGCCACAAGCACAACTAATTCGTCAGTTCTTCAATGATCCAGCAAACACCACCGGTACATTAACACGCACGTATTCGTCCAATCTGCAACGGAATCATGGTTCTGCCGTTTCATGGACCAGTCAAGGGGAACGCACCTCTTTGGGCACAAGCCCCACGATGCAAGAAGGTTAGTGCTTAATTTTATCTGTGCTACCAATCTCTACGTCCTACATACAAATCATTGTTTTCTTTTGTATATTTAACATATTGAATCGTATGCGACTCGGTCTCATGACAAGTTTGTCCACCGGCGTAGTATTTGCATTTGAACCTCCACTCAATCATCGATATAGGATGACTTCCTATTTTTTAACATCAGCGGTTTATCTTGACGCTGGGTTTCTTCGTTCATTTTAACTTTTGAAGGCGCCAGCCAGTTCAGTGTTCTTTCCGTTTTACAATGTTTAACATGAATCTGTAGTATTTTTTCGCCAAAAGTCCCTAAATCTGTGTGAGTTCGAGCTAACCTTTCGTTGAAACGAACACAATCCCGTTTAGTGTGCCCGTCTGGAACCATTCACCTAGAGGATGCATAAAATGGTACCGAACGGGAGCTGTTGCGTATCTGTCTGTAACCTATCATCTCATTAATTGTTTCTTACGTGCTGTTTCAAAAAGGGAGGTAACCCCATGGAAAATTGGGGCAGAATGTATAAGTTGTAAGCCAGGCAGTGATTCGCATGATCTTTTAACCAAACGCTTTGACAACTGCCGCGGCGAACCGAGAAATATTGATGTCCTTACTTCACACCAGATTGCTCATGCAGACTGGATTCAACTGTGGGCTCTCTGAATATTAGTCACAGTGTTCATTAAGTTCTCGAAGAAATCAGCGGTCTCCGTTGTTTTGTTATGGATCGCCGTATGGTTGGTTGAAAGCTGTGGTCTTGTTCTTGTCCCGAACAATTTGTCAGACTGTTATCATAACTGAGAAACCGATCGTCTTTCCACGGTCCACCAGACTGGTTGACTGTTTATCATATCACTCCTTTTGCTGTGACAGTATATGAACAGTGTAAATTATACATATTTATTTATCCTCTACTGTCCTTTTTCAAGACTATCCGTTGTAATTCCAGTCAAATCAAGCTTTATGCGCCTTAATCGCGAAGTCTCACTGTTTTACCACCTCTCTTTACATGCTCTTTCCGCTTCGAAATGCCGTAGACCTCAGTCGTGCACCTAGTCGAACTCGCTGACGGACGTCTATTCGGTGGGTCGGTGAAGCCTTGCGATTTACGCGAGACAGCGAAGTTAGGCCCAACTCGATGAGCACTAATGGTAACGCACTGTTTCGTGCGCTCTACGGCTAAAGTATACCTGGTCGTATTTGCTCGGTCGCCACAGTACCTACTCCCGGTGTGTTTAGTGTTAAGGTGTAGTCCGAGCGATTCACTTTTCATTACGTGGATCATTGGCTTATCCGATTGGCAAAATTTGTTGAGAGACTCGAGTTGGGCTTATTGAGGTGAATTTTGGTGACTGGGCTATTTTTCACCAATAGCCCAGCAAACGCAACTAGCCTCAATTTTGACTGGCCTAGTCCTGACTTAAAAAGTGGTAGACCTGAAAGAAAAACAGAATGCATTTGATTCGTTTCAGAAAAGAGATTTTCGAGGTTAAACGCAGATACTCGTTGTCCGAAGAAGTTTAGCCGCATAAAGAACATTCACAAAGACTATAGCATTACATCAGAAGCTCGCGGTTAGCAAGCAGACTGATTGAACAAATATTAAACATTGTAGGTGCACTATGAATAAACTGTATCACTCTTTCAGCCGAAATGCAAGATGATTCGAAGGAGGCAAACAACATTACTTTCTTTATTGGATTTATTCTCAAAGGTAGTTACTTGCTGGTTATCAACGTGAAACAACAGAATGCGCTTAGTGTATGTTGTATTTTTTTCCCTTGAAGCCTAATTCTGGGCGAAACTATGGAGATAAAATTCCTTTCGTTGAGGCATAAAGAGCGAAATAAATGTTATGTTAGCATATTGTGTTGAAAAGAATGTAGCACGCGTATTGAACAGGTCCATTTGGGATCCTATTGATTTCCTAGTTTATCGTGTAACTAATTCTATGGATTCATACTGTTACAAGGAGCACTGTTCATCTTCGACAGTCGCCCACTCCCATTACGTGGATCTTTTAACTCCTAAGCAGCTTCTCTCGGTGAAGATCTATTGAAGTTCCTCAGCACAAACCAAATAAGATTACGGTATTTGAATATCCGGTTGTTGAAAATACAATAGATCACTGAATGAAGTTATTGGATTTCATTTCTCACAGGTGCTCTTCCCGTATACGAAGTGAATTTTGATTCGAAACTGTGGGGTGTGATTCAAGAAGCTGCTCGAATCGAATTATTTAATCTACCACTGCCGGAGATTGCTCGATTTCTTGGACTTCGAGTGAGTATCAAGCACACCCACACATTCCCGTCTCTTTGAGTCAAATCATTGATGTCTACTGTTTTTCTTGTTGATTCCAGTTCAGCTGATTATGTGCTTTCAACTTTCTCAGATCGATTGAAACATCCCTTCCGTTGGGAGTTTTTCTCAAACTATTAGCCCATGCTTTCACTGTAAGCACTCAGTCGGAACGATTCATATTAATGACAACCTGTTCAAGATGACTGGCGGTCAAAGGATTTATTTGTTCAGAGTATCAAACTTGGATTAACTCATTCGATTGTTTAGAGGCACCAGGCACTCCTGATGGTCTTGGGTGTCGGTTTCACTCCTTGGGATATCGTTAATTCCCCACGAGGTAATGCATTCAAATGCGATGGAAATGTTTGTGATAACCAAAAAAGAGCACTGGACAGCTGTTTCGTTCTGTTTGGGACTCATCAGCAGTGCGCATTTCTTGTGCTCCTATCAGGACTCGATTAATAAACCGCGAACCGATACCATCAAGAGTGCCTGGGGTAAAGGTAAGGTAATGCTCGCGGTTCGAGTCCTGACACGGACACCCAAAAAGTACGAACTGCTGACGAGTCCCAAACAGGACGAAACAGCTGTCCAGTACTCTTTATTGATTTATTTGTTTGTTTTCACGACGGGGGAAGAGATTGACCACTTAATACTCATTTTTTTATTCTTAAGTTGAATTTTCTGTTAAAATCAGGTGCAATTTCATCTATTGCACAATTCTGGGAATACAAGTTTGTTGCCTTAAAGAAATTCAAATCTGACTGTCTATTCTCTTTTCTTCTTTATTCGTTTTCTTCATTTATCATGTAAACATTGAAAATTGTTTGTCCTACCTGATCAGAAAACGACTTGAAGAGTGATATTCATTTCAAATCGATCTACTTTCTCCCATCGGTCATAGCACTCCTATTATCAGAACATGGTCCTACAATTGCAGCGAATGGTCGATCGATACGAGGAAATCAGGGCACAACTGGATCCGTTAAAAGTGAGTCAATCGAAGTGTGCATTATCTTTATACAATGTTTTTTTTGCTCAAAAGATTGACTGTTGATTATCAACATTTGTTTATCTCATTTTAGGTCACTTTAATGGAAAACAGTCTGCGAAATCTGGTAAACACGATCGATCGTGGTGTGTTCTATCTTAATTGGGACAGTCTTGTAGTGGACGAATATCTGGAACATTGTGATCGAGTGAGTGACAGTTTCGAGTTCTATGTTCGTTCTTCACCTCCTGTGAAAAAAAACAGTGTTCTTGCGTGCTTATGCACCAGAGCTGGTTTGAAACTTTCCAACAACTTAAAATGGTCATACGTGAATTCTGTCGTGTAAATGAAATGTCAAATGAATAGCTAGAACTCACTGGACAGCTGTTTCGACTTAGTCGAATCCCATCATCTGTACGAAGCCATCGACCCAACCGGGGATGAAACCGGGGCCGTCACAGGCAGAACGCAAGCATACTTCCCACTCGGCCATGGAGCAGATGATCGGACCGCTTTTTATTTTCATTTTTGCCGTTCGCTGTGGTAGAACACGTAGCGGACACAGGCCTTCCAGAGAACGAGGGCACATTCAAAGTGATCGATAAGCCCATCGAAGGCTATCCATCAACGCTACCTAGCAACAGCTGAAGCCCTGGTCATTAACCTACTCAGTTCACCACCGTGTTCTCCAAAGTGATTTTTTCCCAGTCAATTCGCTTACCCTGGCCTCAACCTGAAGCAACCGGTCGAAACGATCGCAACCTTTGGTATGACCCAAAGAAGCAGACCGGACATGGAGCAGTTCACGCAATCCATCGACTGTGAACATTTTGCAAACCACATAATTATAACAAACACAAAACTCTGATACTTCATTTCCGAACCACACATTGCATTACAACTAACCCATCGTATATGTCCCATCAAACAATTACAGTATAGTTTGACAATTTTTCGGCTCACTATATATGACTGTATTAGCCGGAGGAAGAAGTTATCGAAAGCAAGCCTTGTTCGCTGTGACGTTTTCTTAAAGTCATGATGGAAATTTCCCGTGAAGATACTTTTACCAACATCAGTCAGTGTGCACTTTGGGTGTGTGTTTATTTATTTTATCGGGTAAATCTTTTAGTTGTGTATTAGTACGAAGCTTATAATTACAGTCAGCTTGTCCCCTTTGTCCACCATCTCTGCCATCGGAACAGAATTCAACTTGACCCCTTGGGCTGAAACCGAAAGCCCATGAGATTCTTCTCTACCAACATAAAACTGCGATGCAACTCAAATGGCTTCGAAAGAGCCAAAAGAACTGTTCGTGAAATGGAGAGGGATCTCTTTGGCACAACGTGCAAAAGGGCACCATAGTGGACCCCGAGAGGAAGTATCATGTGTGTCCTGTCGGATGAATCAATTATTGTAACAACAGGGGTAAGGTATAACCTTACCCGGCAAATGATTTTTGATACAATTCGATCGATTTATCTATCGCCGCCCTTGTCCCAGTTGATAGTCGTACTAATACGAATCCGACAAACTATTCAAGCTATAATATCGCGTCACCGTGGTCAAACGATGACCGAAAATTCATGCATTGGATGTGTGAAATACATGTGGGATTGATTCTGTGATTTTCGAAGTAGACAAGCATACAAAACAAGGTGAATGCTCAAATTACTCAGAGGATAACTTCACGAAACTGAAGTTTCTTAAATATGAAAATGTTGAGTGTGCAGAAAGCAAGAGTTAGTTGTTTGTCTAAATCAGGACTGCCGCATCGGGTTAATTTGGTCACACAAGGCTGTGGTAGCCGAAACACAAGTTGACCACCACCAGCAGATCCTGAGACCGGTTCAATAATCTAAACAGCAAAACATCACAATGCACTAACATGTCGAAGGAATAATGCGATCGAAAAAAGCGAGAATTCAAACTCGGCTACAAAATAAGTAATATAAATCTACTCATTAATTGAGTTCTCGTTATTCTCAACACCCAACCCCCTCCTTGGTTCAGTAGGTAATTGAAGAAAAAACTACTGGTCTGCGTGAAGTTTTTTTGCCTAAATTACTCATTAGTAATTTAGATTGCTCCCCACACAGTATACATTATCCATAGGGATACATTATTCTCATCTAGGTGAATGATGAACCGTGAACGACTATTTTTTTTAATTGTGAATATTGATCGTCACTGTTCTATCTAAATTGTGATCTACCCGAATCCCGTAACCGGAACATCAACTTATTTCGTAATAGCGACTGAAACGGGCCGAAAATCATATCAAAGAGGTCGATCGATGTTTTGATATTCTCGAACGAATAGGCACCCTGATTTCCCGCGCTCAAATGTTCAAGGAAAAAGAGAATGGACAATTGGTCTCAGCCAAGGTGAGCATCTGATAGAAAAATCAGAGATCTGTAAGACCCTGCGATCCTTTTAGTCCTTATTTCTGCGCTGAATGAATTGCATCATACCATTAAGTTTATTGCTCATCACAAACACTACCTGTCTTGTGTCATCTTGGAAATGAATGCTAAAAATGTTTTAGGATAGTGAACCACAGTACCGAAATATACTATATTCTATATCCAGTCTGTTCGATCGGTCGCCCGCTGGTCGTGTGAATTTTTATCTGTGAATTCACATGATTTGTCTTTGGTGTAATGGATGGAGTGATATTACTGGTACTACTCACTGAGACTATAGAACAGACTATATAGAACAATCATGTAGTGTCTCCCATGTTTTCAAATCAAAATTCTTTTGTTCGGTTACAAGTTAAACAAAACAATTGGGTTGAACAAACACGACGGTCACTTTGATCATGGTTTTACCATTAGGACGCTAATTACACAGCTGCATGACAAGTGATTTTACTTCAGATTGCACAGGTTTCATCCAACATTGCATCTTCAGTTGAATTTAGACAGAGATACTAATGCCCTCTTCATCTTAAATCTCGATTCTCACAAATTCTTCATGATCATACAGAAAACAAAGTTTCATTTCATCTATGTGAAACAGCATGAAATCTCGTTCATTTGAAACGCTTTCTTAAAGAAGCTAAACAATTAATATAGAAGTCCGTACTTTGTTTACTGGCCTGAGAAATACACTCATTCGTCTACATGCCGTTATGTGTATATATTTCTTACTTGGAACTTTTTCACACCGGAACCCCTAGTTTTGAACAATGCTCCAATAAGCTCCACTCTGTATCTTTTTCAATTTAAGATGTCCGGACGTCACAATATGAATTTAAGATTTACGAATATGAATTTAAGATGGCATGTTGCTATTTGGATAGTACGACAGCGCAATTGTTCCGTCGTGCCACATTGTCTTGTACTTTCCGTGATACTCTTGTTGTCACGTTTAGACCATCCGTGTGGTGAAGGCACGCCTGCCGTACAGTCGAAGTTCACTGGGTCCATCTAAGACTCGCGGCTGTAAACAAGGTGTGGTTTCTCGCTCGGGTTAGCTGGGCAAACACCAGGTCCTTGTTGCGGCTGGACCATCCGACCGATCGATAAATGAACCCGATCGATCATGTGATTTTCGTGCCGGCACAGGAGGAGGATGGGTTCCGAATCCGACACTGTCTAAGGGTTAGTAGAGAATCACCACAAGAGAATCAGTTGTGGAGCGGTGCGCCATGTGGGAAATTCGGAATGGAAAGTGCTCAAGCGATGATAACAGTGGGCCAACGTATGACTCGTCTAAGATACACGCACTACTTTTCCAAGCCCGTTCGGTAAACAGATAATCACAATAAAACTTTGAACCTACCTTATGTACGGACTACAATATTCACATAAAACTATTCTTGTTTTTTCCCAACTGGCTGTTTTCGCGTTGAACGACCTCGCTAACTATGTCGGAGAAAGAATTCCGAAACAGCAATCGCACTATCGTACATAGCACATGACATTTTAATTTCATACTCGGACTTCTTAAATTCATATTGTGACATCTTACAGTGATATTCGGACATTTTAAACTGAAAAAGGTATAGTATGATATTGTACAATATATCTTATGCAATATACCAGTGTGTTTTTCGTTGAAGTGGAAAAGTACGAAGGTCTAGCATGAACAGTGCAAACTGTCTGTCGTGAAGCTTGTATCAATTTGGTTAATCAATCCCCTCCAGACCATAGGCAACGAACAACCCGAGTCTGATTCAGATGTATCCTTCGCTATGCAAACAAGTAGTTCACCGTATAACCCACTGTTTGTAATGTGACAGGAATACATGGACTATGCGGAATCGTGTCGAGAGAATGATATGGAGGAGTTGGCAAATCAGATTAGCACAATGGCTACCAGTTGCCTGGGCAAACTGGAAGAAGCTTTATTCGACACAAATACCGGCCGTCGAGCAGAAATGTATCCAATCTATCAACGATTCGAAGTCATGATCCTATTCCGATTACTTGAAGTAAGCTTTCTCTCTGTCTGAGAAAGAATAGATTTAATGATCCGCTTCGATGTGGTCACTGTTTTTTTGCACACTTTCAATCCACCTACCCGTGTTTCTTTTGGAGTCTGGATCAAGTGTGTTGAGGAACTGATCAAGGCGCAAAGTGACATCAGCTATGCTGTTTTTCAAACTTGTAAATTAATAGCTAGTGTGCTTATCCAAAGAATGCTCAAATGAAATTGAATTCGTCTATCACAACAATATCGACCCCGACATCAGCGAATGTCAGGGAATAAATCCTCTTCATACAATAAGTACTTGAACTTTTTGTCATGATCCTGAAATTAATTCTTTGGGAAAAGGACTTCCAAACAACCCCAACTGCACAAATGAATTATGTGAAATAATCGGTAACATTATCGAATCAGCCCATCGGCAAACCAGGGTGTACTAGCCGATTTGTGTGGGTTCCACTCAGTGAGAGGTTGAGTTGTCTCATGCATCCGCAATTATGAAGAAAGAAAACCGCCATTTTGTGGCTGAAACTAGCGAATTACGTTAATTATCACGAGCCCGGTGCACAATTATTCATTGAATTTTGCTTTGATCCATGAACCTCATAAACTCATGTCCTTAACGAAAACAATAGTTTTACCTTAAGGGTCACTGACCAAACAGGTTTTCAACTGGTACCACTCAGTTATTCCGACAGTCACTCTATCAGGTGAACTGCGGCTGGATCACCTAGATTACTTGCCGACTGTGATTCACTAAAATATTTTCTATCTGATAAAATTGAGTTTCATTATATTTATCATATGTGTTAACGCCTTAGGTGTGGACAATAATTTACCTCTTATCTACTTCGATCTACGTAGTTTCTAGGCTGCATGATTGTAAATTAAACGTGCTTGACCATGGCTGCCAAGATAAAATAATCTCAACATGAAAATCGTAAACTTTATTAAGTATTAAAACGCAACATATTCTTATAGGAGTAACTCAAGAATTATCTATTGTATAACCAAATGAAATTCCTTCACAACCCGGAGAAATTGTATTAAATACGTTTTCATAATAATAATCTATGTTTGATAGCTAACTCACTAAATTCGAGAAATACCATTAATCAAAGTCAACCTTCATATCAAGGTCATTTTGGTGCACAGCTTTGAATGTTCGTACGGTTGTCATTTTAATGGAGCAAGCAATGCTCAAAACCAAAAGTTCTTGTTATCTCACGGGAGGACAGAAATAAAGTTGCACGAGCACACAAGCTGGGATTTTCCATATGAAATCTTGCCCAGTGCTTTAACAGTAACAAAAGCACGATTTACAGGATAATCAATGGAAAACAACTATCATAACAGCTTGTGGAGGCCGTAAACCAAGTACATCCAAACAGGTTGAGGACCTTATTCGTATTACTCTGAAAAAACATTGCAGAAAATTGTTGTCGTCTATCCAACGGGAAGATCTGTCACACCATTCATAGTGCAAAGAAGAATGAAAAAATTTAAAATGCGTCAGGTTTCAGCTAAAGTCAAGCCAGCATTGAACGCGCAGCAAAGGCTGGCCCGTATTGATTTCTCCCGAGAATTCAAATCTCGACGAGCGTCATTTTGGCGTTCGGTTTATTTCCCCTACGAGCGCATGGTGCGCGACGAGCCTTGGAAGGCTCACAAAAAAGTCATTTGTGGTGAGAATTTCCCAAAAGGACTTATTCCACCAAATGAAAGAGTTTCTCACCCGTCGAGATTACTCACCTGGACAGGGATAAAACATGATCAGCCTCGTCGGTGAGCATAAATCAAAGGCATCATGACTAGTGGTAGTAGTAGTAGTAGTAGTAGTAGTAGTAGTAGTAGTAGTAGTAGTAGTAGTAGTAGAGTAGTAGTAGTAGTAGTAGTAGTAGTAGTAGTAGTAGTAGTAGTAGTAGTAGTAGTAGTGTCAGTAATGATGAAAATGTTTCCAGAACTTCATGAAAAAATCGTCTGGAAAAGTTATCATTCTTCAGGATAACGCTCCATGTCATGTTTCACGAGAGACTAGTAAATTTATTTAGTTAAAGAGTCTGGATCACTTATTATTTGCTTTTAGACTTCAGAAAACGTCCAGTTCATGCAACTTCCTCCTAATAGCTCGGATCTCAATGAGATTGAAAATCTGTTTTTTGTTTTGAAGAGATAGGTCAAATTGCTACATGTACATTGGAAGGTGGAGGCAAAAGTGCAAGACATAATGGAGCACAAAACAGAAAATGACTTCATAACAAATTTGGTGGATTCGATACCGAA